AATGGTTGCATCCGGTTTGGGCACATCATGGTATAAATTGTCGGTCATATTTGAAAATGTTCAGTTTATAAATTTTGTCCTGCTATCTGAAACCTCAACAAATGAATTGCAAATCAAATACAGTCCAGTTTCAGGTATAAGCGATCGTATTCTACTGTATATTACGTTTGGGCACAAACTTTAATAACTTTGTAATTTAACCATATTTTGATTGCAAAATTAACAATTTAATTATATAAATCTATATTATAAAATTAAATTATAATTAATGCAAAATGCTATCATGATCAATAGTTTGTCCCCAAACGTAGTACAATTGTAAACTTGTAAAATAAATTCATAAAATTTATTTATAAATTCATTTATAAATTTATTTATAAAAATTATTTAATAATACATACTTATAGATGAATTTGCAATTATGGAGACCGAGAGCGAATGCGTTCGCGGATACATACGTGTTGTGGCCAACAATGACATCGTTTTATTAGCACAGAATAAACTCAATGGCATTGAACACAGATTCTCTCACTGCGAGTATAGGCTGGAAAGGGATGACATTTATAAGGATTTACGTATTCTGGGCTTAGATTACGGCCCAGAGTTTCAACGTCTCCGTAGAGTCGCTACAAATGACTTCAACGAAATGTACGGATTGTGTGAATGGGACGGAAATTTTGTCACATTCCTGGACTCAATGTTTCATTCGGTGTATTTGTCAGTATCTTATCGTAAGCTTATGGTACCGGTTGTGGTCAATAGGATTAACATCGATCCGCAGGTCTTATTGCGGGCACTCAAACAAAACAGAATTTTTGAGCAAAACATTGACACAACCAAAATGGACCATGAACATAAAAATGATTACAACAAATCCCCTAATTTGGATATTCCGGGAACTTTACTTATAAATAACGATGGATTTGCATTATTTTCGGCAAATATACCATTTTATTACAATAAAAAGCGCAACCAATTGATTACGTATGGCCTCGAAGTACAGCATTTAATAACACAACCGATTCCCAGAAATACTAATACAAAACACTTAACACTCGATTCGTATGAATTTGTTGCCAACGATGACATGGAGGCTATTGATGATTGCCATAAGATTATGATTGAAGAATATCTCGATGTAAATAGTGTTTTAATTAATGCTAATTCAAAATATATCTTTATTTAATTACTTTTCCTAATTATAAATATGAAAAATTTACTTAATTAATTTACTGAATATATTTCATAGGTTTGCAAATATATGGCGTTAAAACTCAAACAATTGAATTTCCATATTTCATGTGATTTTGATAAACATAATAATATCACCGAAAATATGATACAAGAGTATAGAAATAGAAACCATGAAAATCATGTAATGTTTAAATTGTTGGACAAAATTCACACAATAGTTAACAATAACATGAAAGACGATATAAATAATAGTATGCAGAATATTCATCAGAATCTAGAATACAATTTAAGCAATGATTTAATAAATCAAATTCAAGGGAATGAACGCATCATTAGATCTCTGGTTGATATTGTCTGCGAAAATATTGCACAAAAACATGAGATAAAAATCACAGAAATTAATTTAAGTAATAATTTATTGGCTAAAACAGTGGAAGAGTTTATTAAAAAATTCGTAATAATACCCATTCATATCGATTACAGTATATTTGTTAAGACAATCATTGGAGTGATTGAAGAATACAAACATAATGTTATTGAATGGGATTTTAAGAGTTCAATAAATTTGAAATTAAGTGATTTGATTGTATTTCGAGATTCACAAGAATTATGGGAAATAGATTTGACGGCATTTGTACAAGACTTGTATGACTCAATACAAACCAATGGATTCTTATTATCTGTATTTCGGTATAAGATTACGGAACCGGAGATTTCAATCATGTCTTTGAATGAAAATTTGAAAATCAATTGCAATAATAAATTATTTGAAAAGCGAATAAACGATTTTATAAACACCGCAAATAATATGGGATTTCGTTTAATAAGTAGTAAATGCGATACAATTGCAACGAAAGCCCTATTGTTCAGAAAAATAACACCAATTGTCAAAATTCCGCAAAATGACGAAATAATTACAATAAATACTGATTACAAGCAATGGTTTGATTCAATAAAAGGAAAACTTATTGAAAAGCGAGAAAATAACCAAAACGATAGACACGTATGGCTTGTGGCGAATGACTCGTGTATTAACGGAATCATTGGTTTAATGAATTGTTTGCGATTAGAACCGGGAGGAGAGGTATTCCGCTATATCTTCCAAATGGACACCAATACTGACACTAACATTGACTTCAATACTAAACCCTATTCTGATATATTGGCCAACGATTTGATCGCTAATGTTATCAAAGGGGCAAAAGTGGGAACTTATCGGCACTTAAAACTACCCAACGATTACGACAAATGTCTATCAAATGATTATTATCTAAATATGAGACAAACACGTGATTTGGCTTCACTTCAATGGTTTGATTCCCGAAATATTGCTGACGTGAAAGAAAAATATTTAATTAATAATACAAAAACATTTCAAAATAAAGTACATGTTTATTACACGGGTTTAACTTTCAAGGATATAATGCATGCAACCGGTAATGTAACGTTAACTTAATGATTAACATTAAAATTAATATTTATACATAATAAATTAATATTAATATTTGTACTGTATATTTTAAATGTATATATAATATCTATATTTATGTGCATATTAACCAAGGTCGTATTCCAATGGGACCGGAAAAGCTATACCCCGATTGTTTATTTGGTTTTGAATACGTGGGCCGTAGGGCTGACACCGGGCAACGGGTGATGGGACTGGAGTTCGGGCGCATGTTTTGCACGTCAGGCAATGTAGTGGACAAATATATGACTGCTATTCCCGAGCACTGGTCAATGGCAGAGGTGGTCACTGTGTTGAGCACATATAGTACTGTACACTACGGGCTCATTAAAAGGGCGAATCTTAAGAAAGGTTTGTTTGATTCTTAAAATACAATTTATGTTATTTTATATCAAATATCATATCGTATTATAAAACAGGCGAAAGTGTTTTGATTCATTCGGCGGCGGGAGGTGTGGGTCAGGCGGCTATCAATGTGTGTAAACACTATGAATGCAATATCTATGCGACGGTCGGCTCCGAAGAGAAGAAACAGTTTTTGATTAATGAATACAATATTCCAGAGAAACGGATATTCAGTTCAAGAGATATACTCTTCAAGAATGAGATAATGGATGCGACGGACGGACAGGGAGTGGATGTTGTGCTCAATTCACTGACGGGTGAGCGGCTGAGCGCCGGTTTAGAGTGTCTGGCGATTAGCGGACGGTTTGTAGAGATAGGAAAGTATGACATGTTTTTCAAGAATCAGTTAGCAATCAATGACTCCATTCGTGACATACAATTCATAAGAGTTTTCTTGGATTACGTTATTATGAATGATATCCACTATTTAAACGAGTTTTACGATTGGATGCATAAGAACTGTACGAATGGTTGCGTAAAACCATTGAATTATACTGTGTTTGAGGCTAAGGATGCGGACAAAGCGTTTCGTTATATGACAAGCGGTGAACACATCGGGAAAGTCATTGTAAAGATGAGGGACGAGGAGATTGAAAGAACTGCCCTTACATTCATTAAACCGGTTCCCAAACTATTGGTTTCGGTTAAGACTTATTTCAACGCAAACAAAGTCTATATAATAACCGGAGGTTTGGGTGGTTTTGGTCTGGAATTAATTCCATGGATGCAATCATTGGGCGCACGAAAGTTTGTGGTCACTTCCAGGTCTGGCCTTAAGACTGATTATCAGAAGTTTATTGTCAATCGTTTCGTAAAGAAATCTCAAAACAAGAAATATTTTGCCTCTGATTTAATGGTTTCGACGGCCAATGGATTGACAATTGAAGGCACGAAACAACTGTTAAATGAGGCCAAAGAGTTGGCACCCATTGGAGGGGTATTTCATTTGGCGCTTGAATTAAACGATTCTTTATTTGAAAACATAACGATTGAAAAGTTTTGTTTCTCTATTGATACAAAACATAAGATACTTGCAAACTTGGATCAAATGACTCGACAATTGGATTATAAATTGGATTATTTTGTAGTGTTTTCGTCGATAAGTTGTGGTAAAGGATCGCCCGGACAATCAAACTATGGTTTCGGTAACTCTTTATGCGAACGCATTTGCGAAGAGAGACGAAGGGATGGATTGCATGGACTGGCCGTACAGTACGGACCCATCGGTGATGTGGGAGTGTTTGAGAGCACATCCAATAAGGCATCGTTTGTTTCTACTGTCAAAAAACAACGAATCCATTCGTGTTGTGATGTTTTGGACAAATTGCTGACAATTAACAAACCGATTGTCACGTCATATATAATACAGGTATAATATATACAGTAAACTTTCCATATATTGGTCGAAATATTGGTATATTTGGTTATACTTTAATTTGCTTCTTCCACGCTCTTTATAATGTTTTATAATATGAGACAACTATTTATTTTGCCTAAACATGATTTGATATAAAGATGTTTTAATGCAATTGATAACAAACATTTAGTTTTATATCTTAAAAACACTAAACAATCTAAAATCAATGAATATTTCTAATCTAACATACATAATAATATTATGTCATTTTTGTTGTTAATATTATATTCCCTACTTTTCATTGTATTAATAGTAGATTCCATAAAGTGAACACTCTATACAATGTACTAAAATCTTCTCTAACTGTTCCAACACTGTATGGAAAGTCTACTATTAGTATCGATTAATACTATAAACCGTACTTTTAATGTAAAATTTAATTTTATAATATTTAATTAAAGGATAATTCAAACGAAACGAAAGAAACGGATGGAAAACATAAGCGAATAATTGTTGACTTTTGGAGAACAGTAGGAATTGATCCCAAGTGTACACCAAATGACACCACTTTAGGCGATATTGGATTGGATTCCATGTTTGCCGTAGAATTGCAACAGGAATTGAACCGTTTGTACCATGCTCATTTAACAATTACACAGTTAAAAACCATCACAATTGGTATGCTTAAGGAGTACGAGAGTGGTGTCGATCACACACTTCGCGCATACATACAAAACCTGACTAAACAATAAACATTAGATCATATTTGCCAAGTGTTTAACATTTATAAATAGGTTAATTATTAATTAATTAATAATTAAATTGATTTAATATAAATAATTAAAAGTCTCTCACTATTTGTAGCCGATTTAAAATTGTTTTGTTTTACATTTAATATCTAGTTAGTTTTAAAGATATTTTATATTAACTAAAAAATTTTCGAAAATTTTAAATATAATTTTTAAAAAAAAAATTATAGTTTGTTATTATAGATAAATTTAGTATGTATTAATCAATGGTTGTAATCATTTATTAAATAACAATTTGTTTTATTCTGTATTAAACAAAATAATTTTTATTTTATAAACATAAATGGATTTTAAAATATAAATAATTAAAAGTGTGTAGTAATTGAGTTCAAAGTGTTGGCCGAAATGCGGCCGCAAATCAATTTCCACATCTCTTTCCACGACTCGGACGACAGGTATAGAGATGTCTGCGTTTACGTCAACACCAAAAACAATCTTCACGTCTACAAGATTTGAATGACAATCAAACCCGTGTTTTGTGGTCTCTATTCATATTCAATGCAAACATTTTTAACTTTAGTTTTAGTTTTGTATTTATTGTTAAATTATTATTTGTTAAATAGTTATGAATACAAAAATTTAATTGTGTTTTTAATGCTATAATTAATGTTATTTTTTGCAAAACTGTTTAAATATTGCGAAGAAATGTGAGATAAATGAGTGAAATGTTTGGTCTTTGATATGAAGTGAAATGACATCACATGTTATTCCGTGGGTTTGGGACTCTTAGTCGACTTCTTGTGTCCCTTATATCCCGAAATAGACTTCACGAGACCTCCTCTGGTCAGCAGCTGCTCGTAGTATTTGGTCCCGTCATCCGATTTGGCGGTCCTATCGCCAGGTGTGGCCTCAGCCCCGGCCACCGCTTCTGTTGACTGATCCGCCGGTGACTCGGGTTTGACTGGCGATGGTTTCGGTGTCTTTCGTGATGTGGTTCTCGACATTTTGGTCGGCGTTTTCGTGTCCTCTCGTCTCTCGTCTACAATACAGACAAACAGTTTTAGTTATAATCAAAATCATGTCATTCACTGATAGAGGGGTTTAACTAACCGTCCGTTTCATTCACGGGTTTACCGGAGAAGAAGTCAAAGACAGTGCCTATGATTGAGAGCACCGGAAGACACACTGCGAAGAGGCAGACAAAACCGATGCCCACAGCTATCAACCAATGAATGGCAAACTCATTGAGTTTGTTATCTTTATTGCTGTTCATTGTGTGGACACGGATTGCGGCCAAAACAGCCGATGCTATGCCTATCATTGCGATAACCATTAGATAGAGTACTCGAGTCCAGCGCCAGAGCTCGGCGTCGAAAGTGGTCTCACATTTGTATTTAATTATATAGCGATAGACTGTTATGAGAGCCGCCATCAGTAGTGCCGACACCGCCGACCATATGCTGCCCGTGGAAGCGGTGGACGAGTAATAGTCGGGATAATCATCGCAAGTGATTGTATCGCCAAAGCAGAGGACACCGAACGCACAGAACAGACAAATCAATTCGACGGACATATATATGAAGACAATGTACTCATAGGAAGTGAGCGCTCGGGACGGAAGGGCCGACTCCTCGACGGACTTCTGGCGAAACGCTCCGCAAACGAAGTGTTGCCTCATATACTTTTAATTTTATTCAATATTTATTAACTATGCGTAAATTATAGCAGTCGCCTTACTTTAGAGGGATATTTGCAAGCATACAGTGAGCTTGAATAATTTAAATGGTATCATATGATAGATTATGTGAATTAAAACACATTTAGTCGGTCAAAATCGGCGAATGACCATATATTTTATTAATACTTAATATAGACTGCAAAAAAATGCGTTTTTAATGCTTTTGCACAGAAAAAATTATTTATAATCCATTATTGCAAATATTAAAGCTGTGTTCAAAGCAATGAATCAAACATTACTTGTATATAAAGTTAAGTTTTTCTGTGACGAACGCATCTAAAACGCATTTTTTTGCAGTCTATAATACTTAATAAAATTAGTTATTAATATGTTTATTCGTTCATTAAATTAAGAATGAGCGCAACAGTAAAACTATAATAAGTAAGGTCGATTTTTCATATAAATGAATCTCAATTCAATGTAAAAGCGTTCAAACTAAAAGTTTTATTTAAATTAATTTTATTAATTATTATTAAAGTATATGGCAATTCGCCGATTTTGACCGACTAGATGTATTTTAATTTACATAATCTATCATATGTTTGAATCCAAACCAAACGGCACCTAGATGTTTAGTATAGATATTACATTTACTATTCATAAGTATGTATATCATATTAATCATAACTAAAAATGCTAATAATAATTAAACGTTGAATAAGTTTATGAATCATCTAGGTGCCGTTTGGTTTGGATTCAAACATATGATACCATTGAAATTAGTAAAGCTCACTATATGCTTGCAAATATCCTTTTTTAGTTCTGCGAATATTATAATTGTTTTTGAGAAATATTAAGTTAAACAAGGATTACACGCTATTCTTTTTGTTGACCATAATTCACAATACTTAAAGATTTCCATTGATTTTTCATTGTTCATAAATTTAACATTATTTTATATGAATAACATTAATCATAAATTTATCATTGATTGCAACAAATATTAGATAAGTACGGCAAACATACCTCCAAACTAGCAAACTAGCATCTTTTGTAATGTCATACAATGATTAATATAGTGCACGTAATATATTATTGATAGTACAGAGGGAGCATAATATTTACCCAGTGACAATCCCAATAGAAGCAATCCCATAATAATTCACTGTACAATTACTTTTATGCTTGTTTTGTGTCAATACAAGCAAAATTAAAATAGATTGCGGCTTATATGTTAAAAAAATTTTATTTAAAAATATTTTCATTTTTTTGATACGCATTATTCGCACAATAGGCGGAATTTTACGGTATTATTTTGTAATGATATTAGAATGAGAAACATTTGATAATTTTTTATCTAAATTAGTCAATGCATTTAAAGCAAGGATAGGTATTGAATGATATTTATTACTATAGGCCACAGGTATAGACCTCCACTTGCAATCGGTGGCCAACGGGTGACCGCTGTTGGCTATGTATAAGGGAATCACATTAAACACGCCCATAATCAGGTCCCTGGGCTCACCGGTAAGCGAATTAGCAATTGCATTATGCCAGCCTTTCATGTAACTATGATATAATAATTGAAATGTAATTTTATACTATCTTACCGTAATAATAGTATTATATACGTTTAATTACAGAGAAAAACTAATTACTACCAATTAAGTTGGGAAACAGTTATATTGGTGTTATGATTGGAGGCGTCGACGAGTGCGTTGTATACACCATAGTTATACTCTCTTTGTGCCATAACTTTATGGTGTAATTCGTTTAATATCGATGATAATTGTTCGTTAGTTTTGTGATCTAAAATGGTACTACATATTTTATATGTATACTTGAAGGCGACTCCCATTTGATCAATAAATATCAAGGGCTGTTTACTAACACCATACCACCGATGCGTTAATTTTAATGCCAATTCCCCAAACGATCGGCTAATGAAAATGCAAATTTATATAAAGTTACATGATTCATAATACATTAACTTATAAATGTTAATTTATTATTTACCTTGCGCAGTATAATCTTATCATGGTTGGTGTCATTGAAAATGGGTCATCCGGCAAACTTATGCCTGTAGTTATTATAACTAACTTATCCAACCACTCTTCTGAAAATTTACTATAAACTCCAACTACTGGTGTTTAAAAATCAATTAAGTTTATATAACGAATTTATTTATGTTGTAAACTATTAATAATACTACCTGGGATACACAGAAGATAAACCCAAATGTAGTTCATGATCATTTAGTATAAAAATCAGTATAACGTAATTATATTTTTTTATTTATTATTGAATGAATAAGAAAATATGGTTTATTTATTAATTAAATTATTATATAATTATCAATTTGCTCCACTAGATGGAAATGAAATTATCATGTATTTCAAACAATTATTTATATTAACCCTTACTGCGCACCGTGGGGTCAATCTGACCCCCCCCCGACCTGTTCAAAAATCATTTAAAAATACAAGGACAAGCACCAGCTACAAAAAAATCCAGGTATGCCTCACAAATAATCATTTTTAAATATTTGTAAAATAGTATCAAGATTAGTTAATTGTAACTATGATTTAGTTAAAAATGACCCCACGGTGCACGATACGGGAGTTTAAGTTACTAGCATAAACAGCACTAATCATTTTATGAACGTTTCGTGCACCGTGGGGTCCAGTCAAAGCTATAGCTATAGTGCACACACATAGCTCAGTGATCAATATAGATGTATTACGCGCATGTCTATTTAGGTATATATTTTTATTGTGTACGTTGTGTGCATCGTGGGGTCCAGTCACAGCAATAGCTGTAGTGTTTGTGGTCTAATGAGTGAAGCTTTAGTAGAGGCCATGTTTTAGAGTACTATTAAGTGTAGCGATAGCTGTGGCCATGCGTTTGTGTACTAATAAGTGCCGCTATAGTTATAGCCGTGTGTTAGTGTACTATTGAGTGTCGCGATAGCTGTGGCCGTGTGTTAGTGTACTATTGAGTGTCGCGATAGCTGTGGCCGTCTGTTAGTGTACTATTGAGTGTCGCGATAGCTGTGGCCGTGTGTTAGTGTACTATTGAGTGTCGCGATAGCTGTGGCCAT